TGGGCTAGCTGTGCTGCCCCATTAAGCAAAAAAACCTCTTTTCTGCCTCTCCCACACGCTGGTGTCTCATCCACCTCCAAAAATCCATCAGGACTGAGCCTGTGCTGCACAAATCTGACTCCTGCACGCTTCCCTCTGCACAGAGGTAATGTTCCAGCCTGCATCTGATTTTTCTCTCCCTTTCCAGCCCTTTCAGCCTCCTTTCCCTATCTTCCAGGAACAGATGCACCCATTCATAACCATGCAGAAGGAAGTGTGAATTTGCCTTCCTGACCGCAGTGCAGCTGGCAAAGCACAGGAGGGAAAATGATGTTTTGCAGGAATACAGAAATTATCTTCACTGATCTTATTAAGCTTGAATGGGGAACCGACAGAAAAAGAAAGGAGGGAAGTGAAAGGCACGGTTTGGGTGCAGCATCATTATTGTTTGTCCTCTCCAAGCACTCCATCATCCTAATCCCACCATCTCCCATGGTCAGGAGCAGTGGTCTGTGATCCAGCACCATCCAGAACCTGCCACAGGGATGCAAACCTGGCAAGGCAGAGCCTGGAGGGATCAGCAGCACCTCGGGGAAGTCTCACCTGCAATTCCCAGGCAGGTCCAGGCCAAGCATCCAACAACTCACAAACATTATCAGTGCTGAAAATACTCACGTGGTACCAATTAGCACCAGAGTGCTGGGATAGGCAGGGGTGAGGGAGAAACAAAGGCTCAGAAACTGCCTAACCCACACCCTCACAGGGATATTCTTATTTATCACATGAATAAATTCATTGCCAACATGCCCAGGACACAAGAGCCTCATGCTGCAGGCAGCACAGCAACTCTGGCAGGTACAGAGAAACAATCACAAGGTGGAAATTCAAACAGAACACAAATCACCTGCTATCAAAACTGGGGAAATTTGGCAGTTTCCTCCTTAGCACTTACCACATCAAGGCTGCTCAATGATGCTAATTAAACAGGTACCTCCCAGACATAGCCTGGAAGATTTACATCCCTAATTTGCATTTCTCAGTTTATTTTTCTTTCCTCCAAGGCACCATTTGAATGGCCACGGTGTGATCGCTTGGAGGGGTTTAATTTTGCACGAGTGCCATTTGAAGATGAAGCTCTGTCCCATCAGCAGCTCAGTGCCTGCTCCTCCTGCCCCTGCTCTCCCACAGTGGGGCTCAGCTGTTCACTGAGATTTTCTTGGTCTCTTGGGCTTGGCTTCACCAGCTGAGAAATAAATAATGCTGGGCTCAGCTGCTCTGGGTGATCCAGCTGCTGTCCCAGGGGCTGGGAATGGATCAATCTGGGGATTCTTTTGAGGGTGAGTCTCTGAAACACCCAGCAGCAGTGCAGGGTTGTTAGGACCAGCCTCAGGGGTGTGATCTCCCCACCCAGCTCCCAAATCCAGTCCCAAAACCCAAGACCAGGGCAGCTCCCATGGGATGGGGCAGCAGAGCTGGAACAGAAGTTGTATAACTGCAAATAACTAAAAGCAGGCACAGTGCTGTGGTAATTGGTCAGCTCTGAAATCAGAAGTCAGTCACACTCCAGCACCCTTCTCCTGATAAGGCTCTGATTAGCATCAAGTCACCAGCCTGATAAAAAGTGATAAAAAGTGGGAGGAGGTGACATCTGGCACCGTGTTCTGTCTGTTCTGCCGTGGAGTAAAGGCAAGATCCTCATCTTGTGCATTCCCAGCACGACCTGAGCTTGCTGCCAAGAGAGGAAATGGTCAGGGAGGACTCAAAGAGCAGCTCAGGATCAAAGTTCCCCACAAGGTGCTGACCCATCGGCTGCCATGCTGAAACTCTCATGATGTGAGTGCAGCATCAGCTCTTCCAAAAACCCTCCCTGAGCTCTCTGTCCATCACAGCCACCGGCAGAGCAGGGTGGGAGAGCAGCCTGCAGGCAGGGGAGCAACAAAGGCATGGGAGGAAGAAAAGGGAGAGGAGAGCTGGAGAGACACTGCCAGCACCCTCCCCTTGAGGGAAACAACTTCTGGGAGGGGAGGGGAGCAAGAGCTGCCAAGTTTAATTGCACAAATGAACTCCAGAGGTTATTTACCAGTTTGTGTCCCTGCCCAAGCACTCCTGCTGACTCTCCAGGCTCAGCAATGGCCACAACCACGTTGCCCAAACACCAGCTGGTCGCCCATTTGCTTTGGCTATGCTGAACGTGCCCTCCCCTCCCGAAATTCCGCTGGAAAAACCAAACAGGGGGAGGTTGGCAATCCACAGGCAGCACTTCTGACTCCAGAGATCCCACAGTGACTCTCCCATCTGGTGGCTGTTGTCATGGCAAGCAGAGAGGGGAAGCAGCAACACAAGAGCTGCTCAGTCCTTGACACACTCCATCCTTGGATTGATGGCAGCTCCCCAGCAGAACAATCCCAACAGCAATTACCCAGGAGCTTTTAGAACGGGAGAAAGCAAAAAAAAAAAAAACCCACCAGATTAAAAAGCTATTTGAAACCTTGAGGCTGAATGCTGAGGGAACAGGAGCAGCCAGGGCTGCTGGGTGAACAATGAGGAGATACAGAACCACTTCTCTGTGGGCCAAGTTTAATGGACCCTGATTGTCAGAGAGCCTCGGGAGGCTGTGGGGACAGCACTTGACAAAAGGACAATCCGTGCTGCTTGGTGAGTCGTGGCTGCAGTGTGGAAAACCTTCACACAGGGGCTGAGGAGCAAATCTGTGCCACCACCAGCACGAGGCACAGAGGAGGGGACAAGACAAAAGGTGACCTTCAGGTGCAGGATTCAATTAAACTCCAGCCACATGAATCACAATTCCACTGTTATTGTCTTGCCTTGCTGGAGGATTTGGGGAGTATCTACAAAAAATAAAAGGTTTTTTTTAGTGTTTCACAAATGGCAAGGAGTTGTTGTTATTGAGCAAAAGCTTTATTGTTTCCAGTAGTAAAACATCACATAAAAGGTGTGAGGGATGGAGATGAGAACAAGAAAATAATAAACACAAATGACCAGAGCAGACTGAACACACTGAGCCCTTCTTGCCCACATCGAGCCAGCTCAAAAGACAGGTACAGGTTTAGGATAATATTCCAACAAAATCTGCAAAACACAACCAAGAGAATCAGCACAAAGGGAAAAGTGGTCTTCAAAATAAAATAAAGTGGTCTTCAAAATAAAGTAGTGCACAGAGCTGCAGATGTTCCTCATTCAGTTGTGCTTGACTCCAAGAAGAGTCTTTCCAGAGCTGATTGAACAATTCTGAACACAGGAGAATTACCCCATGCAGTTAAAATATAGATGTAAGAAAGAAAAGTTTCCAGTCTCACTGGCACCAGAGCAATGTCAAATTTATCTCTGAGAGTGTTTTATAAAAGTTAAAAATCAAGCTGGTGCCTGGACTCCCAGGCTCCCTGCAGAGCTGGCAAAGGAGTGGGGAATGAGAGTGGGATGGGGACACGAGTGACCTGCCTGCCCTGCCCAGGAGTGAAGCACAGGGGACTCAAGGAGAGTTAGAAATGACACTCCTGATTTTAAAAGCTCTTTCCAACTCAGTGTAGAGCTGGTGATGAGAAAGGAACAGGTTTAAAGAAAATAGAGTCAACTCCTAAAAGTCTTTCTCCTTCTGCTGTAGAATTAACTTTGCCTGGCAGGCCAGGGGCACTGAGGCACTGCAGGAATGAGCAAGAAAAGCCTCACCAGGACTGTCAAAAGCTTCAAGGCAAACCAGAACTCTTTGTGGTGCCCAAACACTTTGGAAATTGCAGACCCTACAGCTCTGAAACCACACCATTATTTCAGCCAAAGATGACAGCTGGGGTTAGTTTTTCAGATAGAGCTGATAGTTTTGGCATTACCCATTCCATAGGTGCAGCTTAATGGCCAGGTTAACAACACAGCCAAGCCATAAAAAATCCCTCAGTGGAGAAAAAAACCTCATCCCCTGCTCTCTCCAACACTCATGGTGAGGACCCCGCATTCAGAGATTTCTTTTTCTGCCATCTCAGGGAGCCCAAAGGTTTTGTTTTCATTGTAAAAGGGCAGGACCAGATCACAGAGGAAGGGTTGGAAGCATTTCACCAGCAAGCTGCCACAGCACATTAACTGGGAAAGCAGTAAGGGAATGGTCCTCTGTGGGGCCACGTTCATTTAAAAAGCAAGTCAGGGATTGATTTCCAATCCTGCTGGAGTGTTCCAGCACCCAATCTCATTTATCTTCATACTGCAGCCATTTGTAAGAACACATACTACATGCACACAAAGTGCCCAGTGCAAGGGAAATCAGAACAAAAGAGTAATAACCGAGGGGAAAGGCTGACATTAATGGGCACAAAATGCCTTTGACTCTGTGATTTCAGAGGGAACTTTTTGGAATCCTTTGTTTCTTCATAATAGACAGGTCAGCTCCAAAGCATTTAATAAAATCCACAGATTTCTACCAGCCCAGCGTGGGTATTGTTCAGGTCTTCAAAGATCTAATTGCTCTAGAGATGTGAGGTAATTTGATTTTTCTCATCTGTCAGGCCTTAGAGGGAAAATTTGTGTCCTGGAGGATAAGCAGGACTGGGGCACAGAGTTTTCAACAGCCTGACTCATGATGACACCACCACAGTCAGCCAGATGCTCAAGACTTCCAGGAAAAAGGCAAAAGAAAGGCCCTTGCTCATGTAAGGTGTGCACGTGGGAGGGGAATCTGCAGAGCTTTACAAGATAAAAAGTCATTTGAAAGCTTTTTTATCCAATTTGGGTGCTCACAGGCAGCCAGCTGGGCTGGGGGCTGGGGATGTGCTCCCCCCCAGGAGCTGCAGCAAGCACACATCTCCCCTGAGCCCACACCCTCACACCAGCCAAGCACAGCCAGGGACAGTGAAAAAAAAACACAGCAAACTCCTTGGAGTGTTTCTGTACCCTGAGCAAAGAGAGAAGGAACAGGAGCACAGCTCCACCTGATGCCCCCACCAAACTCACTCCAAGCAGAAACCCAAGAGGAACCAGCAGGAATTCCTTCCCCATGGGAGCCACGTGCAAACCACAGCCCCAGCCCCTGCTGGGCTTCACAGGGCACAGGCAGGGGCTGTCCCAGGTGTCACCGTGGAAGGGCTGGCATCACAAAGCCACCACTTGGCAGCAGTTCCTGTGTGGAGTGGGATGTGAGGAATGGGAGTGCTGGATCCAGGGAAAAGCAGCTCCATCTTCTTCACCTCCATCTTCACCTCCATCTTCACCTCCATCTTCACCTCCTTCACAGTCGTGTTCTGCTGTGGACTCGTCCTTTGCCTTCAAAACAAATAAAGGACAAAAGTTTTGTTTGGAAAGCACTGAAGGGGAGAGACTCCACCGAGTTATTTTACGTTGCTTTTGCGTGCTCAGTGCCTTTTTAAGAGCTCCCTAAAAATAATAAAGAGAACATCTATGCATCATTAGTCCAGCAGTCAGGGCCCATTAGAGTTGATTAAAGGAAGGAAAAACAGAGGGAGGGAATGGGGGAAGAAGGAGAAATGAGGAGCTGTGCTGCTAGAACTGCTCCTTCAGTAGCTGCTCCCCCAAAAAGCCAAACCCCAGCTCTGAGGGTGGCAGAGCAGATCTGCCATGAGAGCTCCCTGCACCATCAGCACAGCTGGGGATGGGCACAGGACAGCCCTGCCGTCCACGTTTGGTCTGCTGAGGACTGAACAAAGCTGAGCTGATCCCTCCAGCCCCCCCTGGCTCTGCCGGGACACTCCTGGTGCTGGAGAAATGACAGAGGGAGCACAGCAAAGTGAATTGTTCAAGGAGTCCCAAGGCAAATTCCTCCCACCAGCTGCTGCCTGACATCCCTGTTAAAAGATAACCTCCCGAGCCATAAAAGCTCTGTGTGTGTTTACAAAGACTCCAAAACCCAGGCTTTTCACTTCCATCTCACCGACTTCCCCTGCTCTGCTTGCAGAGGTGACATCAACTCTTGCCCTTGGTGCTTTGTGTAAAATGCTGAATGGGAAGTTGGGAGCTGAGGAGGGAATGCATTGCAGAGGGCACAGAATAAGCCTGAGCAGGTGGGGACAGGAGGCCAGACAGGCTGTTTGATCAAAGACCAAAGCACAGACCTCTGCAATGGGAAAGAAGGCACAAAAATAGGAGTTTCATCCTCAGCAGCAGACTTGTTTCCTGATATATTGAGTGAAAGAGCCGAGAGAATGAATCTTTGTCATCCCCCTATTTTGAAGGAAGAAGCCTTCAATTTAAAACTCCATAAAGAATTACAGGAATAGTGAAAGTAATTTATTTTTTAGTTACTCGAGCCTTTATTCACTTAACTTCAAGGCAGGCTTGAAAGAGCTGAAAATGTTTTGCTTCTACCACTCGAGGATGAAAATATTTTAATTCCCTCAAACATGGAAGGGGGCACAGGCTTCTCCCGAGGTTCATATTTACAAATGCATTGTATCTGGAATGCAAACCTTGAATCATTTCCTAATTCTGCCACTACCCAAAGCTATGTTTTATTTATAAGTACAGCAGGACCACTCGGTGCTCTGTGGATATGAGGAGGCAGAGACAGCTCAAAGCTCCTCAGCCATGAAGGCACAATTCAATTCTTGCACTTTGGGGAAGACAGACAACTTATCCTCCTCGGCAGCAGGAAAACTCAATCCCAGCAAGCTCCGAGGAAAAAAGTGCCCAAAATTTGATGAGGAAGCTGTTGAAGGAAGGAGAGGCTTGGATGGGAGAGGCTGGGTGTGGGTGAGGGTCTTTCCTTCCTATCTGATCCCTCTGTCTTTCCCAAACAGAGCCCCAAATGCAGGCAGAGAGAGGAAAAACAGGGATTTCCCATCTCCTCCAGCCCTGGAAATCCACACTGGCTCACACAAACAAGGAACAAGTCTGAAAACATTTAAGCAACTTTCTCACCAAGCACAGGAGAACAAAAGTCAACTCCCCAAACACTGCCATGAAGCAAGTCATGAAAGAAATTACTACTCCATTTGCAGCCTAATTATTGTTAGGACAATTTCTTTTTTTTTTTTTTTTTTTTTTTCTCCCTCCATAAGTATGGAGCAGTCAGACCCACTGAAGCAAAATGTTACCTCCTCATCGTCCCCGAGGGAGTGAGGCAGACATCTGAGAAGCAGAATGGAAGGGAAAATAGAAGTTAATGCTTTAACTTCAAAGATGCCCAGAGAATTTCCTGCCACGAAAATAATGCTGAGTGGCTCTGCCTGGCTCGTGTATTAACAGCTTGAATATTTATCAGCAGAAGTGGATGCCTAGCCCAGCCAGGGAGGCACTGAGCCCACACAGAGCACCTCACTTCTAAACCCAGGCAATTCCTGAAAGACACGCCATAAATCTCCCCACATCAGGAGAGCTGGCAGCAGCATTCCCTGCCCATCACAGCCTCTCCCAGCACAAAGCAGCTGCAAGGAGGTGCCCAGGAGATGCAGCAGAAAAGTTCAGGCTGGAGCTGATGACACCTGGGGACATTCCCAGCAGGGCTCACCCTGTGACTGCCAACCAGAACATTCGTGAGCCCCTGCCCAGGCAGTGCCACCCCGATGCCAGCTCCCAGAGCCCTGTTTGGTGTGGCTCTGCTCCAGTGCCAGCTGCTGCACCACTCTTTAAGCATTAATGGCTGAGACAGCACACTGGCAGAGCAGGCAGAGATGGGGACGCTGTGATTTGCACTCCCTCATCTGCTCCTCTCGTGGCTGCCTCTCAAAGCTCCTGCTCCCAGCAGGGATCAGAGCTTTCTCCAGCCCCACTGCCCACCCAGGCTCGTGGAACAGCCAGGAGGATTCACCCATTCCTGTCCCATTTCTGGGATAAAGCCCTCAGAAGATGCTGAGAACCCCATCAATGCAGAACTTGCTGCCGATCTCAGAGGAGATGACTTTTCCTTAATTTACCCCCTGCAGCAGTCCCAAGCTGGGATTTGTTATCTCCATTAAAAGCTCTCCCTGGGCTAATGAAAACCACTGTAAGATATTGATTATTCCTTTGTTTCATTCTGCTTAATATTCCCCTTCCTTAATAAAAATGTCATAACCGACACAAGTGAGGGTTTTGCTCTTTTTTAAGGCATCTCTCATCATCAGCTGTGGCAGCCAGAACAAGGTGAGTCACCTGCCCTAGCTGGGAGCAAGTAAGAGGCAAGATTGTGCTTCTTCCACATGTGCAAATTTAATTTTCTCTAGGATAAAACATTCTTAAGGAAAAGGAGTGACCTTCCTCTTGAAAGCTATCACGTCAGAGCAGGCACCTCCAGGAACTGGAGCTTCAGAAGCAGAAGAAGCACCAGCCCCTCAGAAAAAGGTGCTTTTGAAAGGCTTTGAGAGCAGGTGGCAAAAAAAAAATTTAAAAATAATATAAAATTGGCAGCCTCTCAACTCACCACTCCTCTGAAACTTTGGCTCATGGGCTGAGGTTGCCTAAATCCCAACGCAGCCCTGACAATGACTCATTTTATACAAACTCCAGGCTTCATTATCTGCCTCAGCAAACCCCAGCCAGAGCTGGAGCAGCTCTGGAAACCTCCAAGCTCTCCTTAGGAGCTCCTTGTTCTCCCTCGGCCACCACCCTGCTGCTGCCTTGGCTGGAAGGGCTCAGGGCTGTGGGAGCAGCAGCACTCCCCAAATCCCCTGTTCTGGAGGTGCCCTGCGATTCCAGGATGCTGAAGTGCTCTGCAAAGTCGCACTTGAGAGCGGAGCTGGAGGTGAGAAAAAGAAGTGCAAAGAAAGTCACCGGTGGAACAACACCTGAGGTGATAATGTGAAGCGAAAATTGCTCCTGACACGGTGTTCTAAAAGTGCAGAGCCTCTCAGAGGAAGCACGGGAAATCAGCTTTTAACAGCCCCGTTCTGCAGCTGAGGATCAGCAATTCAAATGAGGAAGGGTCTTTGCCTCTTGCTCGTTTTTGGGGCAGGGCAGAGCTCAGGGAGGTGCTGGGAGAGTTTAGCCAGGCCTGACATCCAGCACCCATCACCTGCATCACTCTGTAAATATACAAACAGCAGGAGCAGCCTGTGCTCGTTGGCAAAGAGAGGCACCCAAAGCACTGAAGCACTCACTGCTGATTTCCTGCCTTCCTCCCCCAGGTTTGGGAGGCCACGGAGTTCCTGCACCTGAGCTCTTGTCTGAACAAAGCAGCCCCTTCTGCAGGAACGCTGAGAAATAAATGACCCCAGACATAATAAAGATCTTTACAGAAACTCCCCAGGCAGCCAACCTGGCTTAACCTTTTCCTTAGCAGGATCCTCTCTACACCTCAGGGCCAACTTTAACTGGGCTCAGGAGATTGCTTCAGTTTTCCTTTTTAAATATCTGCCCATGCTGCCTGTCATTTTAGCTCTCTCCCATCTACACGAGGAGATCCCACTGGAAAGATTTGACCCCTTGTGCCAAGCTTTGCATATGGAGTTTTTAGGAGGAAAAAGGCTTTTTCTCCTTTTTTTCTTTATTTTTCTTTTTTTTTGCCTCTGAAATAGTGTTTGCACTGTCATGGCCATGCAGCAGAGAAGCTGCAGAATGATTACAAACACATTTTCCAGGAGTGGATCCATCCAAAGGGTCACCTGCTATCCACCCACACCCATCCCAACCTCACAGGACAACCTGCAGCTCCTCTCCACAGGCAGCACAGCCAACCCACAACAGGAATCCAGCCCCTCTTAATTCCACACACAACAGGAGCTTAAAATAAACCACCCAGTCCAGGGCAGGCAAATCCAGGGGGAGGAAGGACAGAGCAGAACCACTTGTTTGGTTTGAAAAACCCAAAGAAAAGTTCAAGCCCCTGAAAGCTGGGGAGGGAGGGAGGGAGGGGAGAGCAGAGAAATAATTTTGTGCTGCTTGTTTCTAGCAGGAAATGTGGAGAGGGGGACAACAACTGAAGGATGAACCTGCTGTCTGTAATCCAATTTATGCCTCAACATGCCCAGCACCAGGCAGGCTCAGGGACGTCAGGAGAGGCAGTTCAGAGGGCAGGAATGCTCGGGGAGGGAGCAGTGCTGGATGATAACTTGAGGGGTTAGTGACTAAATTAGTGGGAACTGCAGAGAGAACACATTTGCATCTCTTTCAGCTGCTTCGGGTGTGATAGCAGCCTCTGCTTTCCCAGTCACTTAATTGTTCTGAGGTTTTTGAGGGGGGAAAAGTGTCTTTCTTCTGCACTGCAGAGCTCTGGGAAGAGCCGGGCTTGGCTTTAAGAGCCACCTTACTTCAGGAAAAATGTTACTCGGTCTCAGAGAACTGCTGGACAGCTCTGAGGAGAAGCTCAGTGTGTTCTGCTGGCCCTGCAGGACAGAGAGGAGCCCCAGGGCTCTGCAGGGGCACAGCCCCAGGCTCTGAGTGCTCCTGGCCGTGGGTGCAGGCAGCTCCCACCCCAGACAATTCATTACTCACGTTGCAGAAAAGGTTTTGCATTCAGGGAAGAAGGTGTGACACTGTGACAGCATCGGCTAATACAGAAAAGGAGCAGGGAGCAGTGATCCAGGGGCCACAGCTCTGTGGGAAAGCTGTGCTTCCAGGGAATTCAGCCCCAAAAACCAGGGACGTGTCAGAGAGGGGGTGCAGCTTACCAGGGGCGCTGGTGTCACTGTGGTGCCTGTCCCAGGGCTGGTCACTCTCCGTGGGGCTGAGCTCTGCCCCCTGCTCACTGCCCAGGCTGCTGTGGCTCCCAGAGAGCAGGGGGGACTGGGGGGTCCCCAGGGCTCTGCTGATGGCCTGGCTGGGTCCCCTGGTGGGTGCTGCAGGGACAGGACAGAGATGCTGCTGAGGGAGGGGGAAGGGGGTGCAGGCACTGGGCTGGATCCTAAAGGAGCAGGGACATCCCAGCTGGATCCAGGCAGGAGCCCTCAGGAGCAGGGTGAGCCCCAGTTCCTGTGCTCTGCTCCCAGGAAACACCAGCGATTCCAGTGCTGCAAAGCCAGGAGTGAGGAGCAGGCTGGGGATGTGCTCCCAGCTTCCAGGGCAGAGCCTGGAATGATTCAGGGCATGGAATGACCCAGGGAGAAATCCCAGGGGGAAAAGGCTCAGACCCTCACCTGGCACAGCCACAGCTGAGCCAAGAGCCAAATATTCAAAAGAAAAGAACCAAACATTCAAGCACTTCACCCTTCCCACCCTCCAGCCACAAGGAACTGCAGCTCCTCACCCATTCCTGCTTGGAGTTTTCTCCCTTGAGAGCCTTGAGATCCCACAGGGATGGGTTTGTCATCCAGGCTGGAGGAGCTGAGCTCCGAGTCGCTCTCACTGTCACTGGAAACCACTGCAGGAAAGATCAGGGGGAGGAGAGGAGAGGAGACAGTTATTCACAATGTTCACAACACTTCCCAAAGAGGTGCCAGATGGATCCAAATAAAACAGCAACAAACGCTGACTCTCTGCTCACCTCCTCCCTCTCCAAAGGAGACCCTCCCTGCAGTTTCCCCACAGCTGTTCACTCTCCCTCCCCAGCATGGTGTGGTTTTGCTTTTTGCAGATGATTTATAACTCTGCTGCACACTCTCCAGTGCTCCTGTGCCACTCTCTGCTGCTCCAGGTATGGGGTCTGATCCCACTGAGCCATCCCAGCACCCCACCAAGCCCCCTGCTCCTGGTATTTGCTGCCTCCCACACACAGTGATCCTCTAAGGGCTGCTTCAGGGTCCTGCCTGCACCTGCTCCACCCCTGGGTAATGTAGGGAGAGGTTTTTTTTCCCCTCCAAGCTGCATTTCAAGTGTGGTAGGATCTAAGAGGGAAACACCAGATAAATCCTGAGCACATCAAATCATCCCCATCAGCAAACTACTCCTACATCCCCAAAGCTCCAAAGGCAAGGGTCACTCCTTTTCCTCAAGGAGAATGTTCTCCCATTTCAAAGCTGCTTTTTTTCTCCTCTATTTTTCTTCCTCTTGAATCCTGGCTCTCTTCCTACTGCTTTCCACTCCCCATATTTTCCAAAAGAGCTGAAGGAGCTTCATTTTGCCAGACACAGCTTCCCAAACTGGCAGGTTCTTTCCACTTTTCCATGCAATTATGCAAACACCTCTCCTGCTTACACTGGTGTAAAAGATAACTCGACTGCCAGCTGCTCTGGGTAAAATGAGAACAGTGTTTTTCCCAATTCCTGTTTTTTTTGTGATGGTTTGATCTCAGAACAGAAATAAATGGTGGGGCTGAGGAGGAAGGTAATGGGAAAAAAAAATCTGTCTTTTGTTTGAGGGATTGCACCTACAGCAGTTTTCCATCTGACCAGGGAGATACCAGCTCTCCTGGCAGCTCAGCAGCCACTTCAAACAGCAGGTCACAGCTCCTGGTGAAAAGTACAAAATCAGCCCAGGAGGGATGTAAAGTAGGTAACACTGCAACTTCAGCCTCTCCTGTCGAAAAAGGAAGCCCCAATGATTTTTTTTTCAGATCCATCAGGACGTCTCTGGAGTCTCAGATTCCTGTGAGAAGTGATTTTCTCTGTGACTGAACAAACCACGCTGGCCCCACGATGTGTTAGAGCCTCAGAGAGGGACGTGGGTGACAACCACGGGGTAACCCAGAGCTGTCACTGCACCTCTCTGTGTCAGCCCAAAGCCTCCAGCACTCCCCAGGGCAGGAGGATGGGAATTCCTCCCCTGGCACACAGCACGAGCTGTCAAATATTCCTGCCAAGCACCTCCTGTATTCACGGCAGCGATCTGTACTACACAAAATATTTCATTTAAAAAAAAAAAAAAGGGAAGTGAATACCTAAAGTAATGCTAACATCTCTAAGGATATTAAAGTTGGCTGCCAGTGTTATTGCAAAGCATTATTGAAGTTGCCCTGGCAGGCAGCTCCTCACACAAACCCTGCACAGAGGGAAAAATGTCCCTTTACAAGCTGGGGGGCTGCAATGCTGGCTAAGAGTCCTCAAAGCAAAGATTTGTCTAAAAGCACATCTTTATTTCTAACCCAGAACTCCCTGGGAGAGGTGGGGAGTTCTATATAAACACTGTCAAAAACAATCCATGCATACCAGAGTGGGTTTTTTTTTTCCTATGCACTCCAAATCTCAGCTGTAGGACTCGTTCTGACCAACTTATTGCTCAATTCTCTCAGAAAATGAAGTCCTGTTCCATTTGGTCATCATCTTTTTTTTTTTTTTTTCTTTTTTTTGCCCTCCTGGATTCAGAAAATCCATTTGTTTAGAACAGCTCCTTCCTCCAGGAATCCTCTGAAAATGCTGGGAGCCAGGATTTATTTGGAGAAGGCCCCAGTGAATCAGTGGAGGTGACTTTAGCTGCCTTGTCCTCCTGCCATTCAGCAGCTCAGAGAGAACCAGCACAAGAGGAAGAAAATATTAATGACTCGAAGGCACCACAGGACCAGCCCTGTCTGCTCTCATTTCCTCTGCTGCCAATAAGAATGTATTTTACTCACTGCACCAAAGTCTCCCTTTCAGGTAATCCTTCATCCAAAGCTCCCAGACCTTCTGCTGGCACTTTCCAGAGCCCAGCAGATTTAAATCTGGTGTTCCAGCAGTTGCTGATATATCAATAAGAGTCGTTGGACAGCTGTTCTTTCAGAGAACAGAACAGATTCATCCCTATCTCCAGCTGACTGGGAAAAAAAAAAATAAGCTCATAAAATAAAATCTGCCGAGATAAAACTTGCTAGAAAAGCAGCATTTGCAGAGGGAATGGGTCACTCACAGAGCCTGGAGCCCTGCAGCTGCTGGCAGAGCCCAGGGTCCCTCCAGATGTGCTTCAACCCCCAAGCCAGAGGCACAGAGAGCCACAGGGAATGGTGAAGGACACTGCTGGCTGCACTGGTCCCCAGAGGCACATCTGGATGTGGGGAGGCTGTGCTGGGGCCAAGGGGAAGGAGCACCCGGCCGGGGCTGGGATCTGTTGTGAAATGTGTGATTTTGGCAAGGGAAGAGCTGTCCGAGCTCCCTCGTGCTGCCAGCGCAGGGCAGGGCTCAGCCCGGCACACACAGAGCTTGGCACGTCCTGCAGCTGTCAAAAAACACGGGAAAAGCAGGTGGGAATCACAGCTCCAACACATCCAGGAGGAGCAGAATCCCTGAGCAGCGCTGCCCTGCAGCAGCACCCAGATTTTTGGCAAACACAGGGAGCAGGGAGGGCAAAGCTCCTGGTCCCTGCAGGTGGGAAAGTGAGAGAAAATGAGAATTATTGCAGCCCTGGCTCCCACTGAGGGCAGCTCCTGTGCCAGATCACATCCAGTGAAGGATGCTGCATCCTTCAGCTGCTCCAAGAAGGAAGAAGTGATGTCCCAACCCTTGTCCCTTTCAGCACAAGTTGCAGCTTTGTCGCTGCAAAGTTGGCAAGTTGGATGTGCCCTTTGGTGGCCTGCAGAGCTCTCCACACTCGCCAGCACATCCCTCTCTGCCCCATCCCTTGGATTTGGCCTCCAGCTCACAGAACAGGACAAAGGCACTGCATCCCCCTGCCCAGCTGCTGCTCCCCTGCTCTGGCACATCCCACTGCTTGGAGACACGGATGGAACAGGAAAATCCCCCAGCCCTCCTGCCAGACAGTGCAGCAGCCCAGGGATCACACTTCTGCTTTCCACCCAGCTGCTTTCCACGTTTTCCCTGCAGAACTCAGAGACTGGAAGAAGGAAAACCCTGCTGCTCTTGCTCCCACCTCCTGACCCGGTGCAGAATCCCACCCACATTCCAGCACATGGAGCAGAGCTGCTGCCCAGCAAAAGAAATATTGCTGCTATTCTCCTCCTGACAATGCATTTGTGCCTTAATTAATAGCAGGGTTCCCATGGCAACGGCTTGTTTATAACAGAAAAACTAAAGGCACCAGCAAATCCCAGTGTCAGGGAGCACAGGAGAAATATTGGGTGTGCAGAAATAAAACTTCTGCCTGGTGGGGTTGGCTTTTCTTCCTTGAGGCACATTCCTGCCCTCCTGCAGTGGGAGCAAAGATCCAGGATCTGACACTGATCCCTCCCTTCTGAAGGGAAAAAAAAGGGACACTGGAAGTTTGTCCCATCCCTGCTGGAATGGCAGCTCCTGGCATGGAGGATGCCCAGGGGTTGTGGCAGGACTGACTCGAATCCCCGGAGAGCTCAGAGATGAGAGAGGGGCTGGACGTTCCAAGATAAGGAGGAGGCTGTCAGAGCCAGGCACGTTAAATGCCAGAGCTCATTCCCAGGAACATCCTGCCCAACAAGCACGGGGGCTTGGCTGGGAGCTGCCAGGACGTGTCTGGGTGAGGGTGTACAAGGTGTGAGCTGACAAATGCTATCAGCCAGGCGAGGGAAACCTGCCTTGGACAGCTCAGGCCAGCTCCTGCTGCAGATTCAGTGTCAGGGATGCACATCTCCACGGGGGAAGGAGCTGCCCTGCACACGGCAGAGCTGGGGATGACAAACAGCAGGAGCCCCAGCACTGGCAGATTCAAAAGAGGTAAAAGGAGGGGGCAGATGCACAAGCTCCCAGCTCCAGAGATGAATTACAGCCTGCAGTGCCCACTGAAAGCTGTCCAGAGGACAGGCAGCCTCACAGAGAAGGGCAACAGGGAAAGAAAGCACCGGAAAATAAAGCCATAAATTAATATTACCCAAGCCATAAAACAGCAGCCAGACAAACATCAGAGGGCAGGGACAAAGGCAGCTCACCACCCACATCAAAGCTAACCAAAGGTCACTTTGCTGTCCTCCCCCTGCTCCTTTGCTGCTCCTGCCTGCATTTATGGGGAAGCCTTCTCCAGAAAAACAAAACTCAGTTGAAAAGCTGAACTAAGCAGCAGGCCAGCTCTGGGCTCAACAGCTTCAACTCTTAATGTTTTCTCTATCATGTGAACAAAAAACAACCTCATCAATCAGTCCCTCTTGCCAAGACAACTCCTTCCAAGCATCTCCTGGAGGGAAACACAACCAGCTATTGTTGATCTAATTTGTCTTTAATTACAAAAGTTACAGTAGGGCTGGGAGTGCTTTCTTAGCTGGGCCCCCAAGAGAAGGTTTGTAAACCCAAGTCTCCTGAGGTTTCTTTATTAAAAGGTTATTTCCCCCTGCACTTCTGAAGAGTGCATGCAGCTGGTTCACTTCTCCAGCTGAGGGGATCTAACAGGAAAAATCAGAAGGGGAGAGGCCAGGCAGTTCTGCTAACCCACACAGAGAGAAAGGAAATCAAAGCAGACTGGCAGCAGCTCTGATTCTGCAGCACTCACATGCTGGCAGAGCAACTTCTAACTCAGTGAGGCGAGGAATCTGCCCAGCAGAGCAGCAGGAGTGAGGAGCCCCAGGGAGGGAGGGAGGGAGGGAATGAGCCCAGCCTTGGGTCAGCCTTGGCTGTGATGTCCAGTGGCAAAGTGCCTGGAGTTCAGCAGGAGCAGGCTGGGACTGCAGGCAGGTGTCTGCTCCATGGCTCATCCCAGAAAAAACAGCAGGGTGAGGGCTGCAGGGAATGGAGGAAAGCAGGGCTGGACTGAAGTGGCAGTCCAGGAGGACTGGGACTAATGTGAGCCAACCAACATGCACTTAAACATCAGTAAATCCTCAAAAAACCACACCATGGAACTCCACCACCCGAGGATAACACCTCCAACAGAGAACTTCTGACTGCTGGGATCCTGCCAGCAATGGGACAAGCCAGGTCCTTTTCCCACCTGACCAACCTCACCTTTTCCCCTGGCCCAGGTGAAGGAGTGGCTGCTGCTCACACTCTGTGGCTCCACCTCGCCCTGCCAGGGCTGGGGCTGCAGCTCCAGGGGTTTGCTGCTGCTGCTGCTGCTCTTCAGAGGAGTGATGTACTTGGGCAGCCCTTTGTAGAACCACGCCCCAGACCTCTTCCAGACCTGCCAGAGACACGGACAGGACACCTTTCAGCTGGGTTTTTACAGCAAGAGAGCACAGCCACCTCAAAATGAGCTCCTCACCAAGCCTGGCTCTGTCTGATCCCGAATTCCTCCCCAGTCCTTGTCAGCCCAGATTCATCTCCGTCCTCCTTCCACCACTAAAAACTCCCAGCTGTGAAGAAGCAGCAGGTACAGATGGAAGGAGGAGCAGAAGGTGATGGCACAAGTGCTGTACCTACAGCACAAAGCCTCAGTGCTCATGTCACAGAGAAATTCAGGCCAAGATCATGTAACGAGCTTGAAAATCCCAGAACAAGAACAACACTCAAAAAACCTGAACCTGCAGCAGGAAATGGACCTCGAGCACTAAACTGTAATATCTGCTCTAAGAACAGCCTCTCCTCTCCAATTTAGCTTTAATGCAGCTCATGATGAAGGCACTCTATTAAGTATATTTAATATAAAGCCTGCTGTAAGCCAGGGGAAGGGAGAAGGGTGGCAGCTCAGACAAGGAGAAATGGCCTCTTACAAACCTAATTCTTGTGTGCCTTCCAGCAGCCTGATAATGAGCTAATGACACAGCCAGGGTAAAAATAAGTTAGCATAGTAAAAATATCATTTTTTATTTCTTGCACTTCTGCTCAGAGTGAAGGAGATCATCAGTGTTTCCACTCCAAGTTCCCAAAGCATTTTGCACACAGTTTCATCATGATGGCAGTAGGTGCAAAAGTCCATATCCCTAATTGCAGCAGTACAATTGCAATTTGCCTTTAGAGCTTAATCAAAGCAGAGGGCAGTGACAACACCTGACATTCACAGGAGCTGTTCCATAAAATCAGAACACCAGCAGCACCATGACACTGATGGCTGCCTGGTTCCCAGTCCAGAGCCACCAACAGAGCTCAAACCTCTGTGTCTGGGGTCTTGAAAGCCAAGTGCAGGTGACCTGAATTCAGAAGGGGATCTGGTAATGTGGTTTTTTTTAGAAAAAGGAAGCAGAGCATTGCTGTGACCCAGCACACGTGCAAGGGGGAGGCTCATGAATCTCAGCAGGATCTGCAAACCAGGAGCTGAGAGCATCCCACAGCTACACCAACATTTTCCTGCTGCCTAACCAGCCAGCAGGAGGGCGAGCCTGCCATCCAGGCAAAAAGCTGGGAAGCCAATTTCCCAAGACTGCAATTTGGGGGTTTGACACCTCACCAGCTCCTTCTCCAGTGTGCCAACAGCCAAAGTGACCCAGCACAGGCTGACACAGCTCCTTCTGTCCCTCCTGCTGGCACGTAGGCACTGCACAGCAGTTGGTGGAGTGTGTCAAACAGCACATGGAGCAGCACAGGGACCCTGCAGGAGCAGCTCTGGTTTCTGGCAGTAGGGAAATGCAGCAGGTTTTTGAATTGTGGGACAGACATCTCTACATAGAGCTCAGGTATTACACCTGGCCCAGGCAGGAGCTGCAGGCTCAGGTCTCCCTGAGGAAGGTTTTGGGGAGCAGCTGCACCCACAGCAGGAGAACAGGGGCAGGGTTGGGAATCATCCATCCCTGATACACACTGGGAATGTGGTGCACACACACCTTCCCTGGATAAACTGCTGGGGAGGAAACAGCCCTCTGGTACAGTCAATCTCTGAACAGACCTTGCAACATCTGTAATTTAATTTGAAGCACTGGAGAGACCTATTATCTTCAGGCGAGCTCCAATTTAGACACACCATAAAACCAATCAGACACAGCACGGATGGCTGGAACACAGGCTGGTCACCCCCAGGTTTCTCACTGCCCCAAAGCAAGTCGTTACAGAAAGAGTTAATGACATAACCCACCCAGCTCTGATGTGGTAATACTACTATAAAATTGATTCTCTGCATATATATATTCCCTTTAAATTGGTGCTTCTAATAGAGTTTGGTCCTATTATGGCAGCAGCGAAATTGTTTTGAAATCAGCTCTAAAACAGCAGCAGCAAGATGCTGTCCCTGGGATGGATCCAGCCCCTCTGCCCCTCCAGGTTTGCAGCACAGCCCATCCCAAAGGCCCACAGGTCACATCCTGCTCTGCATTGGGGCAGTTTGGCACCAGGTCGATGCTGCTGGCTGCTATTGATGGCATTTGATTGATGGCCAGAGTGGCCTGACAGCAAAGTTCTTGCTTGATTTCAAATTAATACATCTGTAACAAAGCCTTGAGAATAAAATTCCTGTTTATTAGCAGGAGTTTACTCTTGCCAGGGAAGGGAAGATGTTGCTCCCACCAGTTCACATTAAGGTGAAATTTGTTCCCCGTAGCAGTCTGAGTTTGGGTGGAGCTGGAATGTCACCAGGGAGAGGGACAGCCATGGCCATGACAGATAAATGCCTTTTATAACCCTGATAATACTCCCATTAAAGTTGCATCAAGCCATCATTGCAGCTATGGAGTGACACATGCAGAAGCAGATGGGGATTTTATCGAGCATTTTCAAGTGCAGCCTGGAAATGGGACCTAACAGAGAATCACTGGACCCTGGTGAGACTCTTGTTGCTGCTCCAACTTCCCTGAGCATACAAGTGCTAAAACAAGCTCCTGAACGGGGAAAACATTAGGATTTGCTGATAAAGAGGTGGATCACAGCTGAGGGAATCACAGCAAAATAACAAACCAGCCTCCCCAGAGCCCTCCTCACCAAACCACATCCCCTAAACCCCCTAAGAGATGCTTAGAAAATGATGCAAAAGCCACGTTTTGCTCTGCCACCTCCTGCTTGTGCCATGCAGGAGCTGTTCCCACCCTGCATCCTTTTCCTTCCCAGCGATCTGGGCTTGGTGAGAGGAAAACCACCACTTTGATCTTCCCATGCTGACACCAGCCATACCGAAAGGTGGGGGGAAGCAGCTACAAAAGGTGGGCTACAGCCATGAAAAAGGCACCTGCAGATGCAGCCGCCCTGGGAGGGCCTTGCTGGCATGCCCTGCCATTGGCACAGTGCCACATTCCCTTTGTCCCAGCTCTCCAGCTCGGCCCTGGCACGCTGCAGGCACCGCTGGCAGCGGGGAAGGAGCGAGCGCTCCTCAGCCTCGTTATTTGCATTCATCTGCTTTTCCATAACACAGAGATTTCCAATTACATTATTTACAGCAATCTGTTGTCGACTCCCACATTCAGCACTTGAGGATGAAGGAAATTAAAAGGCAGTGAAATTACCATTCCCAGCTTTGTTTCCGGAATAGCAAAAATCCATCGCCCCCCTGACCCCGACGTTTCTCAAGCTGCCAGCCTTCAACCATTTATCATCCCCCTTTCAATCAGGCCTCTTTTTTTTTTTTTTTCTTCCTCCTCCACCCGTGGCTCTATTCTAGAGGACACTATTTTGAGTCTAACTACTCGCTGCCACCCCCAAAATAATATGGCAGAGGCTATTGATGAGTTCTTTCAATTGCAAACAGGTGCACATCGCTCCCGTTCTATCCAGAGTCACCCAAAATTAACACCCCTCTCCATCCCTGGGGTGTTTTGCCAGGAAATCATCGTGCCAGGCAGGAATAACCCCAAGAGATGCTGCTTTACGGGGTTCCAAGTGGTAGGAGTGGATATGTGGAAAGGGAAGCCCCCGGGGGCAAGAGGGGAGGAGAAGACTCCGTTCCTCCAGCGCAAAAAAAAAAAATCTTTGCGTGGTTGTGATAAACAGAAAAGCAGCCAGCCTTGAAAATGCTGTGTAGTGAAGGAGAAAGAATGAAAAGGAAAGTGAAGCAGAGGGGGCAAATGAAAACTTTTAACAGGTCCCTGGTAGCTGACACTCTCTTTCATATTCGAGGGAGTTTAAAAAAAAAATAAAAAAGCTCTCTCTCTCCCCACCCCACCGAAACTGCTTTCATTATCCCTACAATTCTGGATGTGTCAATTCAAATGTAAATGTGCACGAATGCTTCCAAGAGGATTTTAATTACAATGATAGCATCGCTAATTATGGAGATATATATATAAAAAAATACATATATAAAGGGGTAATTCAGGAAGGTGCTCTGCAGAATCTGGCACTATCAGTCAAAATAAGGCTGTGCAGGGATTTGACCAAACCCAGCAGGTCCCTTTTCCCCTTCAGGCCAGGAGGTGACAGGCAGATTTTGGCCAGGCACAGCAAATTCAGCATGGGCAGTGCTGCTGGAGCTGCTACCAAGCTCTGCCCGAGGCCTGGCAGCAGGGAATCCTTCCAGCTGTGAATTTACCCTTCCAGCTGTGAATTTACCCCTTCCAGCTGTGAATTTGCCCCTTCCAGCTGTGAATTTGCCCCTCCCAGCACTGCTGCCAGTCCTGCTGCTCTGGCAGCTGCTGCAAGCAGCTCTTGGCACTGCAGGAGCTGCTCCTTTCCTGCCCTAGAATCTCATTCCCAGGGGAGTTTCAGTGCTGGGATCAGCATCCCTGGGCCCATGGGATCCTCACCCGGGGGGGATCAGCCCTCCACACTCTGTCTGCAGAAAAGCGAGGCAAGATCAGAGCCAAGAAAGGCACAAGGAGGAGGGAAGGAGGGAGGGAGATTCTTGCCCTCAAAAGTGGATGTGAGCGTGGCTGAATTCGCCTGCAGGAACACTAAACCACAATCCAACATCATCCTCAATTCCACTGCCATCCCAAGACTTTGCAGAGGAAAACACCCACAGAATCCTGGAAGAACAAAGGAGGCTTTTCCACAGCTCCCTCTGGAATGGGTTGGGACAAAGTGCCTCTGGAATGCTGCAGGTGATTGATTCCGGGCTGCACTGCTGGTGTGGGGCTGCCTGGGGGATGTTCCCTTTGCCAGCAGGAGCACCCAGGCTCTGCCAGAACAGCCCCTCACCCTGCCCCATCCTGTTCAGGATGTCTGGGATGCAATCAGAATCCCAGCAAGCAGCAGGCAGAGCCTCCCATCGCCTCCACTCTCCAGAAATAAGTGCCAGAGCAGCTCGTTCCCCATCACTGTGCAGCACAGCCTTCCCAGAGGAGGATTTCAAGGAAACAGAAAAGCAGCAGAGTGGCTGAGGCTGGGATTCCCAGAGGGATCTGTGGGCACCAAGCACTCTGCTCCACCTGGAGGAGTGATGCAAGGCACAGCTCACTGCTTTGGGGTTTGTTTGGGGATTGTTTAATCACAACCCACGCTGTCCACACAGAAAAAAGGGGGAGATGGGTACCCTGTGTCACTAAATTTATGCTGGCTTAAATCCAGCCTGCAGGGATAAATAATAAGGTGGGAAATGAAGGGATGGAAGCAGGATAATTAGCTGGTGCATGGGAATGTCCAACCTCACCATCCTGAGATCCTGGCAGCCACATTTATTCTGATTTGCCTCAACTTCCATGCCCCAAGGCTTCTGCTAATTCTCAGTTCCCAAATCCCCTCAAAATAAAGGCAGGGCATGTGGGGAGACAAGGGGATGTGTGATTTGATGTCTGTGTGCCCACACTGTGACCCTCCCAACCTTCCCCTGTTCACCAGCAGCAGCACAAACAAGAAAGGAGACAGAGCTGAACCCACCTTAAAGGGAATTGAAAAATAAAGCAGAAGCTAAGGGTTGAGAGGCAAGTTGAGGCTATAATTTAGTCTAAGAAGGAAAAGTCCATCCATTTTCATCAGGGATGCACTTTGGCTGTATCTCAGCACTCAGAGTGAGTGTTGAAGGTTATCATACCCTCACACTCTGGCCACATATAACACATGCTGGACACATTCATATTCTCTGTCCACTGACCAGGTTACTCAGTAGTTTTTAAGAAAAAGGAAAAAAAAACCACAGCGGTACAGAGAGATTTTTAAAAAATCAACAGAATAAAAGAAATAAAGCAAATTTTAGTGCCTGTGTTTCCCTGCAGAGCACATAGAATACCTGCACCTGCCTCACTCTCTATTTTGGGATCTCTATCTGGAATTCAAAACATCGAGATGATTCAGTGTATCAAATTGTTATCAAAATCCAGGGAGCTGGAGTGCTCTATTCCTGCCCTACCCACACTGCTGCTGATCATGTAAAGACCAGCAGCATCCATGTATCCCTCATTTTACCTGAACGTGGAATTTGTGGGTGCTCCCACACAAAAAAAATTCCCTCCAATGTAAAACCTAAGCAATGCAAAGTTTCCACAGCTAAAAAAAAAAATTAAAAAAAAAAAATTAAAATTCAGCACCTCCAACACCTGCACAAACACTCTCACTTCACTTCAAGAATTGATTTAGCAGAGCACCCAGGTTACACAGTTGGCTGCACTGGTCAGAAATTGCTGCACTGGATTGATGCTCAGGGACCACAAGCAAAAGCTCGAAATAAATTGATGGGAACAAGTGAAAATCCATCTGCAATCGCAGAACAAATTCAGACTTCACTTCAGCACAGGACAGCGAGCCCTGATGTTGGTGGATGCTGGCTGGCACACAAGAATTGAGGCAGCCCATTACTTTCTTTTTTTTTCTTTTCTTTTTTTTTTTTTTCAGTGTAAAGCCAAGGATGAAGGATATAAAAATTTAGAGACCTGCATTAGGAGTCTCACACACTGGCAAGTTATGGGATTTTGCAGGCAGGGAGGAAAACAGATTTAAAGGCTGCAATCCTCGTTATTTTTAGCGGGACAAATATTGCAGTTATGTTCTATATCTCTCAAGATGTATTTAAAAAAAAACCCCCAACAGTTAGCCAAGTTTATTTACCACAGAGTGAGGAGAGAAAGGGTGTAAAGGAACAATCCCTTTATGGCCAGAGCTAGAAAAAAATCCCACAAACCCAGGCTCCAGGTGTGTTTTTTTCCCCTTCACAAAACAAAGTTGTCACCACTGCGTATTTTTGGCCTCCAGCCAAACCTCCCAAATCCCATTTTGTGCCTCCCGAGGCACAGGGAAGAGCCCAGGGATGTGCACAGATTTGGGGTGGGCAGGTGGATGCTGCTGAGCCCCATCTGCCCCCAGCTGAGTTTTACCTCTCTCTGCTCACTGCAGATCTTGCACAACCACAGGGGACGTTTCTGGGCTCCAACAGTTTCTATCCCACACTTGGTGCAAACTTTCTGGAACAAAGAGAGAGAGAAAAAAAAGAAAAAAAAAAAAAAAAGAGGTGATGTTAGCAGCTCCTCACAGCCCTTGGGGGAGAGAAGGATGAGAAAAAACAGCTCTGGTTTGTTTTCCTTAAAATCTAAACATGGCACAATTTCCCTGTTTTTCCTGCAGAAGCACTGGCTGCAGGAAGGTTTTTTAGGTCTATAAGGACACGAGACAAAGGCAAATCCAGAGCACAATCCTTGACTCCAGGCTGAGGAGAGAACTGGACAAACCAAACCCCACATCACCCACGGGTGTATTTCCAGAGAGAAAATATAATTTTCAAAAATTCATTTATTTATTAAATATTTTATTCCTCTAAATCCTAACCCCCAACCTCTGTGGTGTGGAAAGCAGCTGTAACCAGGCACAAGGGAAGATTGGAAATGTTCTCCTTGCTCCTCTGTGCTCAATCCCACATTTCCCCTCCATCTCAGCACACTCTCCTTGCTCTGTGGCTCTTTAGCCATTGGGCATGGCCATGGCTGCACACATTTCTTGAATTTCTGATGGTTCTGCACAGCCCTTTTTTGCTGCAGAGGGAACTTCCAAGTCAGTGCTGCCATTCCAAGCCCTTCACAACCTGAATCCCCCAACATTACACAATGAAGCTGATGCCTATCAGCCCTGGTGTGCAGCTGGAATGAGAAACTGGATGAATCCTTTGAGGAGGAAAAGCCACCCACGAGAGGAGAGCAGAAGAGATATCCACGAGGATTGGACGTGCCCAGATTTACACATCCCCCACACCAGGCTGCTCTGTGTCCAGGGATGAAGGTCTCATCTTCTCCATCCCACTATTCCCTCATCCTCATCCTCCCAGAGAAATAATGAACAACCTCTTGAGTCCGGTGCATCAGCCCCCAGCACGATGCTCCCAATTCTCAGATTCCATTACAGACACCACCTAAACGACCCCGAGCCCTTCCCCAGCCCAAAACCCGAGGCAGCAGCTCAGCCTGAAACACCCTCCAAGGTCCCAATCCCCACACGGATAGCACATTCAAACGCTCCCTCTAGTGGAAATTCCCAACCCATTTTACTCCCAGCCGCGAATTCCCAAAAAACCCAAGATCAAAACGGTGTTTTCCTCCTCCCTTTCTCTGCAGAGCAGCTGGGAAATTGAAGAACTATTCACAACCCCTCGGAAGAAGACATAAAAATCAAGGGCATTAAATGCAGCCCCGTTTCTCATTAAACACAAGACAAAGCACTTTATTCTCCCACTCATCCTTCACCTTTTACACGACATCAATCCCCCCCTGCACGGTAAATGGCACCTCGGGCTTTGTCTCACTCCTGCTGTTGTCAGCACATCTGGCTTTGCACGCACCTTTGTCTTGCCACGATGCCTTTATTTCCCAGCTAATAAAAACTAACGCTAAAAGCATCCCTTACAAAGCAAGAAGTGGCACTTGGAAGATCCATCAGAAGTGCAGAACCTCCGTTCGGCAGGAGGGACTTGCTGAAGGTAAATTCTTTGCTGCGTTTCAGGTGCATCATTACAATTCCTGTTATTGAATTAAACGGGCTGCAGTGACACGGTGTCTGCCAGGAAAAGATGAACTTTAAAAACCTGTAATTCCCTGACAAATTGCTTATTGCACACAGCGCTCCATGAGTGATGGATATTTCTGGACGAGAGGGAACAAGCAGTTCACTCTGTGCTCTGCTGAAGGCTTGGCTGTTCCCTGAGTTCACAACATTAAAAAGCACAAGGGGAGAAGCCCAGGGCACCCAGGCAGAATTGCCTTGGGCTAGCACAGAGCTGAAAAGTGCAGCCAGTCTGAGAGCAGCTGCAAAATGCGCCCTGGAAAAGTAGGATCTCACTTAAATCAACCTGGATGTGAATGCTGCTGAACTGCTCAACAGACTCCAGACAAAAATGGAATAAACATTTAAAAAAAAAAAAAAAAAAAAAAAAAAAAGGAAAAAACCCAGCTTTTCTCTGGGGTTTTCTGGTCACAACCCTCCCAGAGCCTCAGGCTCGCACTGTGCCACCAGCTGAGGGTCACTCCTGGAAATGGACAGGGCTGGGAAGTGTCTGAAGCAGTCCCTGCCTCCTCAACACTGTACAGGGTTCACAGGAAATTGGTTAAAAAGCCCCGTGGCAACGTGGCTTAGCTGGCTCCTGACAAGGTGAGAGCAGAACTACCACGGGAAGGAGGCAGCAATAGAGCACATCCTGTTTTTCCACATGCCTGAAACACAGGAAACAGCCAAGAATCTCCTGCCTGCCACCCAACCCTTCATTCTCCACAGTGCACAGACCTCGCTGCTCTCACTCAAACCCGACCTTTCACTCCCCACCGCTGCTTCCTGCCACACCCCGTCCCTAAAAGCTGCTTTCCCCACGGTTCAGCACCCAGGGGTTCCAAGATTTGTGTTTCCTTTCCCAGGCACTGCCTTAGAAGGAATCTTCTGCACAATCCCTGCGTCACTGGAGCGAATTTTGGGGACGGGGCTCCAGTGGGGGAACCTGCTGTGCAGCAGAGCTCACAGCAGCCTGCCCTGCGTGAAAACCGTGTCCCACACAGCCAGCAGTGCCACTGAATGCTGTCCCCCATGGTCCAGCCACCTCTCCATGGTAAAGCAGCAGGTTTTACTCAGCCAGAAACACTCCCGCACCCGGCGGGTGCCTGCACCTCGCCACGGGTGACGTGCTGAGATGAAGGAACTCCCAAAATTGAGTCCCCAGGGGAAGATGGGCTTCAAGTGCAGGAAAAGCAGGCTGCCAGCAGAGGCAGGATGAGGTGGTTGCCTTGGAGATCATCCTCTCCACAGCAGTACAGATTAACCCCTGGGCTGTGGAGCCAAGAGCAGCAGGAATCATCCCTGGGGTGCTGCAGGGCAGGGCTCTCCCTGTCAGCAACACAGGCGGCCCCTGAGGCTCAGGGCTGGAAATGTTCCACTGCTTTGGAGCTTGAGGATGGACTTGAGTGCTCTTGGAAGGTCTCAGGGTGTGAGATTTGCACTTGCAGTGAGTGCCAGCAGAGCTCACAGACTCTGAGTTGTCTCTGGTGGCTGCACATTCCTGCCTCTCGTCTCACCCTGCAAACCCCAGCTGGGAGATGCAGAGGGGGCTGGCACAGCCCATCCCAGCACTGAGAGCAGCTCAGGCACTTCTTTAGCATCCTGAGGAATCTTTTATTATCACCAGGCTGCAACAGGAAACTCTGACAGCACCAATGAGAATAAAACACGTTAACCCTGGTGGTGTTTCCTAGAGAGTTCTGCTGCCAGGGACAGGCACGTGTGACCAAACCCACCTTTTTGCAGTCCTGGCAGAAGACAGAGGAGCTGCCCAGCAGCCCCAGGGTCTCCCCACAGAGCAGGCACTGCGAGAGCCCATTCCCCATGGCATTCCTCCTCATGTTCTCCAGCCTCTCCACCAGGCGCCTGCGGGCAAGAGGCAGAGCAGAGGTCACAGCACTGCAGGAAAAGCTTTCAGTGCTCACACCAGGACAAGCCAAAAATCACCGGGAAAAGGCAAAGGAGCTAAACCTGCCAAGCTTTCTGCATTTCCCCATCTCCCTGAAAGCAGCACTGCAGGCATTGACTTGGCCACAGCCCGTTAGGAGCAGGAAGGTCAGACTGGAGCCATCAGAACAAAATGAGCCTGGCTATGGCACAGGAATGGCAGAACTGCTCCCTGCTCCATCCCACAGCCCATTCTGGAAGAATATGCACACACAAAGTCTGCAACAGCAGGGCTGGGAGAGGGGAGGAAGGCAGGATAAGCAATTAGGATGCAGGGTGTGGAGAGCATGCAGAGCAAGGATGCTCTGCCATGAGATCACTGCTTGGCAACCTTCAGGCCTCCATCTGCAGCAGCCAGGCCATTTATCAGCACCAGCACCAGGAGGGAGCCATCCTGCTGGCCATGAACCCCACTCTCATTAGTGCTAATGTCCCACCCAGCAGGGCTCATTCCAACACCAAGGCAAGGGCTGTTTGAAAGGGGCTGTGCCCGTGGTGGGGAGGTCAGGCTGCACAGCCAGAGCGAGCCACCATTAGTGGATTTATGACCCTCGACTTGGACTCTGGCACAAAAGAGCTCCTGGGAGTTAACAAAAGGCATTTCAGAGAATGCTTCACCACAGGAGCTGCAAGGGCAGCACTTGCTGCAGCTCCAGCAGCAGCAGCCACACAGAAGAGTCATCCCTCAGGGGCACTGCCTGCTGCTGGGGGCTCCCATTTATCACAAAAACATCACTGTCACCTCTCGTTAGCCCTGGCTAACAAGCTCTGCACAGGGAAGCAGAGAAGCAGGGAGCTGGGAAATGCTGGACACGGGCTGGGAGTCCCTGGGATTCATGAACACAAAAACTGCTGGGAAATGCTGCAGGGCTGCCCAGCTCCCTGGTTTTAAAGGCACTCGGTGCAGGATGATCACAGACACAGCTCAGGCCAGACCTCCAGCAGCACTCAGAGCAAATGGGAACCTGCAGCAGCAAAAGGATGCCTGTAAATTAAATAATTCAAGCTAGCAAACCCTATCCAGAGGGCTCAGCCAACTAGAACATAAACTCATTTTCTGCTCCAGGCAAAATCCCAGGGGCCTGGTGTGGACAAAGGAAAACCTGACTGCACTGCCTGCAGTGATCCAGTGATCCTGAGCCATCCATGCACCAGCCCTGGGCACAGCCCAGCCTCTCCCAGAGCCCCTGCCTCATTTCCCAGGGACTGTGTCAGGGCTGCAGCCTCAGCAACCCCCAAGGCTCAAAGAAAGCACGAAAAGACTTCAGAGAGAAGGAAAACACAACATCCTCCCCAGTGACCTCCAAACAAGCAGCATGGGAGGGGAAAATGACTGACCTAAGGGTGCTGTGAGTGATGGAGGCTGAGCTCAGGCAGCTGGGAGCTGAGCCACTGCTGTGTGTGCTGCCCTCTCCTTGGCAGGGGAGGGGACAGGGAACGGGAATGTGACCAGGGAATGTGACCAGGGAATGTGACCAGGGAATGTGACCGTACCCGATGCGCTGCTGCTCCACCAGGTCCAACTGCTCTGCCTTGTGGATGACTCCCAGGATGACCTCAAGTTCCTTGGGGCTCAGAGCCTGCATCTTCCTCTGCTTCTCAGTCTGGAATGTGTGCACTGACCAGCCTGTCTGGAGCCTGTGCGAGGGCGTGGAGGGCAGGACTCAGCTGGGGAAGGAGAGCACAAAACCCCTGCCCTGCCCCAGGGCTGAAGCTGCCCAGGCACACAGACCCAGTCAGCCTCCCTTCAGGGAGCTCTGCCCCATGAATAAAGCCCAAAGCAGGAGCCTCCTCTCACTGACCACATTTCCTGCCAGCAGCACCAGAGCTGTGCTGTCTCTCCCTGCCCTCTCACCTCCCTTCCTGCTCCCGTTTGCATTTTACCACCCCAAGCCCCCATTCCTGTTTGTCCATAAAGAGAAGCAGCACCCCTGGGATACCCTCACAGGTGCCAGGCACCACAAATGCCAAGAGGAAATTCCCAAGCACAGGCATCCCCTGCACCCTCCTCCCTCCAAGATCCCACATCCCTGATGCCCTCAGTTCGAACACAAATTGCTGGGCACGCCTAGAAATATAAATTTGGCAACATCCTCCCTTGGTCTAGCCCAGGTTCACAGGAGGACTTGAGCAAACCCTCTGTGCTCACAGCTGATGTTTCTCCTTGGCTCACTTGGCGACAGGCAGGAGCTTTCACAGCTCAATTAATTAATTACCATTCAGGAGGGGTTTGGAGGTCACTGGATAAACTTATGGCTGCAAGGAGAATGCACTCCCTGTCTTGCTGAGGCTTTCTGCAGGCTGGGGGAGTGCTCTGCTCCCAGCCAGGCAGCCCCCCTCAAAACATGGGGTGCTCCCCTCTTTTCTAACACTCTGCAGCAGCAGCTGAGCCCAGGGGTTCAGGCAAGAGCAGAGGTGGGATGGTCCCAGCTGCCAGGGAATGAAAGCATCCAAGAAAAATGCACTTCTAGTGCTTGACTCATCCCCATCCTTTTAGTATTTAGGTTATGCAGTAATTTTAACTTCAGGGGAAAAACGAGAGCTAATGGCAAGTTCCTAAAACGAAAGGGTGCTGGCAGCTGGGGGATGCTATCAATTACACTTCGGGTGCTGCAGAGATCTGGGGCTGCCTCCAAGCCTTCCTTTCACCCAGGGGAGAGCTGTGGGATGGATTCCTGGGGGTGCAGGATGAGGCTGAGAGCCCACAGAGACACCAGGAAAGCTGTGAGGGCAGAGCTGAGGGTGGAAGGGGAGGAGGAGGAGGAGGAGGAGGGTGGGGAGGACTCACTTGGCTCGCAGGGCCAGCTGCCGGTCGTTGGGGCAAACCCAGGGGCCTGTCCCGCTGCCAAAAATCATGTCAGCCATGGTCCCAGGCTGGGAGGGGTGGGGTGGAGTGGCAGGAGTCACACCTGGAAGAAGCAAACAGCAGCCACTCTTAGGGCAGAGCAAACAGAGGTGATGTGCCAGCATCACCCACGGTGGGAGCAGCCAGACTCTCACCCACAGACAGTGATAAAAAAATACCATCACCCTCATAAAATATAAGCTAATAAATACCTTCAGATACCTTGAAGGCAAGGTTGGAAGTTTAGATTTTATGGTACACTGTTAAAAAAAAAAAAAAAAAAAAAAAAAAAAAAAAGCCAGACACTCTTTGTCAGTCCTGATTTTTCATTTCAAACTAGAGAAAAGCGTTGTAAGAATTATCTCTGATCCCCCCACCTCCAGAGCCCCAGTGCTGCAGTTCTGACAGAGAAAACCACTCTAAAGGACACAAAGAAACTACAGTTGCCTTTTTTTTAACCTCTTAACGGGGTAACAAACAAAAACCCACGCAACAATCAGCATGAATAGTGGCAAGTCATTTCCTTCATTAAAACTGCCTCCATAATAGCCTGATATTTATAACTCCAGCCTACAATTGCTTGTTTGCATTCCCTGATGCTTAAGACAGCACCTCTTGCAGCAGATCTGCTGCTGTGGCTCCTGTCCCTGGCATGGTCACACCAGTGATTCCTTGTGTTCAGCGAAAATTCCACTGAAAATTCAGGAGAGGCAGCAAGAACCAACTTCCACGGGAGAAACATCCCCCAAAGAGAGTCTGCAGCCGAGCAGTTCTGAGCCCTAGCAGCAGCTCAGGTGAATGGAAAGCACCAAGGGAAAGGCACAGCCAGAAGATTTCAGTGGATGCTGAACTAGGCTTGATGTACTGAGCTTTCAACCAGCTGGATTTGCTCTCCAGCAGAGCGAGTGGCTCACAAGCCCTAATGCATAAATTCCCAGGTATTAATGCTTGTCCCCAGCACAGACACTTGCCAGCTTTGAAACCATACCTGCTGGGCAGAGATAAGGTGTTTAATGCTGGTTGGCAACCAGAAATCAGATCCAATGGCAGGCGAGGTGCATCACCTGCCAGCCGTGCTGCAGTTCCCAAGCAAACACTTTTTCCATCCCCAGTCCCCAGCAGTGCTGTGCCTGCCCCCTGCTATCTGCTGGGCCACACTGAGCTCTGTGCTCAGCCTGCTGGCCACATCAAACTCTCCTCCCTGCTGTGCTGAGCTCACACGATCCCCCAGCGCTGAAACACCAACCTGAGGCACAGGGCTGGCAGCTCCCTCCTGCCAAACCCCACCTCAGCCCTCAGAGCCAAACCAGTCACAAACAATGAGCCAGTCCCCTCCTTCCAGCTTCTGGGAAGAGCCTGAAAATGTTGTGCTTACAACAGCAGGAGGGAAGAGATTCCACACAGATTTTTTTCAGTGCAAGGGGAAATGTGTGTAAAAAAAGGTGAAGGCTCAGCAGGGTCTGACTGCAGCAAAGGGAGGCGTGGAGGAGATGGGAAAGCTGCAGGAAACAGGGCTGGGGCAGGCAGGACAGACAGAAGTGTCACACAGGAATTTTTAAACCTTCACAGCATTAGAAGTGATGGCTTTTGAAAGAGACCGTGTCTGGAAGAAAACCTCAAACCCTGGCACCAACTGCTCTCCTCACTCTGCTCAGTGCCACACACTGGGTTTACATTTCCATTGAGTCCCAGAACACCTCCTGCTCTTTTTAATCTTCCTCACAATCTCCAGCAAGGAGAGAACACCGAGAACACCTTCCCCACACACATCCTACAGAGCTCACACAGGGGAGCAATCAGGCATGAACAGCACAAGAACACACAGGCTCCCACCCTCAGGCCTGAGCTGGAAGCAGAGAAAAGCTACAATTGCACACAGAATGGCTGATCTGGGATTTTCCAGAGATTTCCCAAGCCTGTGATGTGTGGTTACAGGATTATATGCACATGTAGCACCCCCCCACAAATACATATATTAAATTACTCTTCTGCTGCACCATGAATTCCTCCCACCCACTCATGAACACCTGAAGAACAGCACAGCCCACACTGTGTCCGTGCAGGGCTCCAGGCAAGCAGCCTGAGGTGGCTGGGGGGGTCTCTGGAATAAAAGCTGGAGCTGGAGATGAGCCCCACAGCACAGCCAGGGCACAGAGGAGTTTGCTTTGCTGGGCTGCCAGGGTGGAAAGCAGTGCTGGAAGCATCTGCCCCTCCTCAGCAGAGCTTTATCTGCTCTAGCAGAGCTGAAGGCGACTCAGAACAGAGCACACGAGCTGAGCATTTTCCTCGGGAGAGGCTTAAAGGCATTCTCCAGCCTCACAGCACAGTGAGCTTTGCTCAGCGTGACTGAACAAAAACAAGCAATGTCACGGTCCTCTGCCTCTTGTTACTCAGCATAAGCTCTCTGTCCTCCACCATTCCCTGAGCAGCATCTGCAAAGAGAGAAGGCAAACAGAACACGGCCTAAAGAGCCACCAGATCCCAAAAGAGTCTTCAGACAGATTATTCCCTGAAATATTCACAGCAGTGTTTTCTCTTGGCTGGCATGTGCCGTCTCCTCTGCTGGGAGCTGCTGGCTTGGCACCTTTGCCTCTGGAAAAAGCCTGGGGGGGACCCGGCTTGGAGAAGAAACAGGAATGGGACTGCAGGGCTTGGTGTGCTGGGGGAAAAGCAGGGCTGGAGGGGAAGGGCTGTCTCTCATGGGAATGATGCCAGGGGAGTGGAAGGCGTGGAGCATCTCCCCTCTTATCTCAGTACAGGACAAGAAGTGCAGGGAAAGCAGAAACACCCAGATAGCAAAACCACACCAGCCTGGGGAGTCCTTTCCATGGGCTGTGCCCCCTCGGGCAGTCTTGCATTTTCTCTCAAGAATACTCCAATTAGCACCAAGCCATCCCATCCCTGTCCTCCTCTCAACAAAATAATGAAGGGTAGAAGCAGCCAGTGTCTGCTGGTGAGACAGCAAGAGAAACCCACAGCTCCTGGCCCAGCTGCAAGTGTCCTGCACACAGGGTGACAGCACAGCACGAGCACTTCATGGTACAGAGAAACCCCCCACCCCAAGCTTCTGCTTTCCACCCAAATTCAGAATTAAAATGTGAGCTCTTATCGATATTCTGTGAGCTGCTTTAAAACCGCTCCACCTGTTCGTTCCTTCCCTGTGATGGAGGAAGCCGTGTGAGACAAAACCTCATTAAATCTGAGTGCCCCCGGCTGCCCTTGGCACAGGGGCAGAGGGGAGGAGCAGTGCCCTGCAGAGCTGACCCTTCCCGAGGGGCCAGGAGCATCCTGGAGGATGCAGAACCCAGCACATCCCTGTTGTACTCGGGCAACCAGAAGTGAGAGCATGACTTCAGTGTGGGAGGGAGAAGCCTTCCAGCGGGGCCTGGGTGAAAGGAGCAATGGCAGGCACACACAGCCCTTGATGCTCTTCAAAGAATTCCTGAGAAAGAAGCCAGGTTTTCTCAGCAGAACATCAACATGAGCATCGTATTTTTCCTCAATAAGTGAGCACAGACACAGCAGGTCACACCTGCCACCTCACCAGCTGCAAGAGCAGATGCTTGAAGAAGAATGTAAGAGCAAAGCACAACACAGCAATATTTATCCAGAACACCCTCCCAGCCTCCAGAGATCCCTGGATCATGCACTGACCCAGCCTGCAGCTCTGTATTTAACACCCTCAACATTTTCCTGTCCTGAATTTACCAGCTTGCTTTTTCACCATCATCTCACTACACCAAGTCCCTTCCCCGCTCCTCCAGCTCAGACATTTTGACTTTACCCTGACTCCACCAAAGTCAAAACCGAAGGGTTTTACTGACACTGAGGCACTCGTGGCAGCAGCAAAACCTCCTCATGCAGCGACAGCTCAGCCTGCACCAGCCCTGCTGCAGCCGGGCCCACAAAGCATCAATTCCTCAGAACCCTGCAAAGACAAAAAAAATCCTACCCAGGCCCACGAGGAGCCTCCAGTCAGCTTTCATTTGCCTGCTGATTCCAGCCAAGCAGCTCGTGTCTAGATTAATTTGTTTTCATAGGAAATTAATTAGATTTTTTTTAAATACTTCATTTTACAAAAAAAACCCCAAAAAACCCAAAACAAAACAAAATTAAACAGTTGGCTAGAGCCAAGCTCCCCATTCCCAATCCGTGCTGCTGTAATTACCTCTCCTGCTCCCAGGGCATCACCTCCCCCAGGATTCCCATTCCCAGGTACCTGCTGGCCTGTTTTCCCTTCTGGTGGCTGCTCCCTCAAAGAAATCGGTGTAATCACTGCCTGCTCCACAGCCAGACCCCATTATCCCTGGGAAACCTTGGCAACTGAGGGAGTGTTTGCTCCTGTTGCCATGACAGAGGGTAAATGAGTGCCAGGGACTGATAAGGTTAACCCAGCCCAGCAGCCAGTCCCTTTTCCTCCCAGACACAGAAAGGTTATTGCTGCACACACCACCCTTCCCCTCGTGTTTGAAAACCCCACAGCTGGATTCCAAGGCTGGTTTGAAGTGGCAGAAGAACCCTGGGGGCTGTAGGAGACACAAAGTTGGCTTTGAAGGTCTGGCCAAGTCTGGGAGCCACAGCAAGGCTGAACTGGGGCTTTGGAAAAGTTTTTCTCACACACAAACCATTTTGTGCTCATTCACATCCAGCAGTTCTCCAGCCCCTTCAGCAGGAGCCTGCTGTGGGCACTGATAAAATGCTGTAAAAATGATTTTATAAGGGCAGAGCAGGCAGGAAGCACAAGTGCAGCAGAGCCAGGAGATCCCCAGCACCTCTCTGAGGTAGAGAGACACCTGAGGAACGTTTTTGCCTTTTTTTGCCATTTTGCCATTCCTTACAAACCCTCAGCAGCAGATGGAGAGCCAAGAGACACAGAGAACCCAATTTCATCAGACCTGACTTGCAGCTCTGATCACAAAACAGTGTCCAAATAAACACCACAAAGCTTTGGCAAGCTTGGGGGCAACTTAAGGACCCAACCAGACAGATTTTGCCCAGTCTGCCTCCCCAGGAAAGCTCAATCAAAGCAGCATTAGTGCCAGCAAAATGGGGACAACCTCGTTCAGATCCTCATTCTGGTTGGCCCAGCCCAAATTAAACACCAGCTGGGAGGTGTCCTTATTGTGAAAGGCCAAGCTGGTAAAGAAGTGGGTGAGGATGAGGTCTGGGGAGGAAAAGCAAGAAGTTTCCTCTCCAGCAAAGCTGCTTCCCAATCCCAGCAGCAGCAACAAGAAGCCAAATTGCTTTTAAGATGGAGTTTATAAAGAGTTTTTAAAATGCAATGCCCTGGAGGTCCATGCCAGTCCTGTGAGT